TTTTTTTTAATATCATAATTGGTTAGACATGAATGCAGGCCCTCGACACGTTCAACACTGCTGTGGTCTCGCCTATATACTACGTTATGTTTACATCCTTAACCATATTGGCGAGCGTGATTATGTTCAAGGTAATCATTTTTTTTCCCAGAAAGTAGCAAACTAAAATTTTGTTTTCAATGTTCTTGGAGCCGTGAGTTTTAAGTAAATGACATAATATTATCAGCATCACAGTATAAACCATGTAGCCACTCTGACTTTTGACTGTTATAATAATCATTAAGCAAAACAAAAAAAAAGGTGGTAGAATGTGACATGTTTTCACTTCACCAAAGATTGAAGATCATTCGTTTGTCATGACGGACAGGATTGGGACCGGCAAAACCCGACTCAGATTGTCACAGAAATGTGTGGCTTTGTGACTATTCTTTCCGGGACATTTCTTCTCCACAAAACAAAAGACATGGCTGATGGTACACAAGCTTTATGATTACTGTTTTTGTTACTCATCTTAGTTCAATGTCGATACTAATCGAGGGGGAATATATATACTTTTGATGACAGAGTTGTACAAAGATTGTGCGTTCAACGGAGGCGCCACATCAATTGCTATAAAACTTCCTAAACATGCAGACGAGGATGGATTCGCCCAAGAAGGCATACCTTTAAGACGACAAGAATCCTCAAGAACACCATGATTGTAATTTTTTCCTTATAATTCTTTTTGTCAAAATACAAGCTCCCAAAATCAAAGCTACTCGAGAAGATACCACACCTATGTGATTATTGTATTTATCGCTACTGACTACTAAACAGTCCCCAACACAATTTTCTTCCTGTAAATGAAGGCGCTGTGATTTACTTTCCCTCTGCAGTTTCATTTTCTCCCATCGGATGCACAGTGGATACTTGTAAATACAGGCAAATTTAGCTACAGAATCTGAGACACAATGGAAGCATTTTTTTTTTTTTATTTTTTTTTCTCAAAATCTGCGGTCGGTTTACTTGTTTATTTGCTTGAGAAGTCCAGCTACCGATGCGCAATGCGTCGATTTATATTCACATTGCTCGCAACAATACTGCAGCATCTGGATGACTTTGACACACCTACAACACAAATTAAGACCAACTGTAACTTCAGTAACTGCAACATTCATGATAACGAATACGATGTTAACATAGTTTCTTCAAGAGCTGCGAAAACATAAAATCAGTTAACTGCCCCTGTTAATGTATTTTAGCCTTGATTCGAACAAGCAGAATCAGGAATTGTTAAGGTTCCAGAGTTCAGGTTAAACAACATATACTTAAATCAATCATTAACAACACGTTTTTATTTTTTTATTTAATTTTTAATTTTTTAACCTTCAAACAAATTAATGCCTACAACAAATGAAACAAGGAAGTAAAAACCCAGATGAAAAAAAATCCTACAATATGAAGCACTCTTATAAGGAAGATGCTACGGTTCGTTACGTAATCATTCCGTCGGGGTTTGTAACCGTCAGGTCGACTACTTCTCACGGTCACACTATGTCTCATGGTTACAAGATAGATCTAACGGTTACAAACTCCAACGGAATGATACGGGGAAAAAGAAGCCTAATAAAGCATAGTTTGGGGAACACAATTAAACCATGGCAGACCAATCAAACCACAAGATCAATCAGTACAATTTCAGCATAATTAAACCGACAGAAGAAAGTGATTTTTTTTTTTTCTTCTTCTTCTTCACGAAATGTAAAAGAATCTGAATATGATAACACAGAAATCTGATTAAAAAAAAAAAAAAAATTACTTGTGGGGAAGAAAATTGTTCTTGGAGAGGCAAGCTTGGATATCGCAAGCCTGTTTCTTACATGGCTCTTTACTGGTCTGAGCCATTTATATTCTTTGAGAATCTTTCGACTTCTTAGGTTTATCGAAGATTGTATTAAGCTGAGAGCTGTTTCAAGATTTGCGAGAGAAGGTTCTGTTCGGTGAGGTGCATTATATAGTCCGCTTCTGGACGAAACAGGTCAAATCAAATCCGGAGCACCGAAACATCTGCCATGTTTTGGGTCTAATTGTGCTTGCAAGACGTGTAATCGGACTTTAAGCATCGGATGAGATAGACAAAAATATATAAAAGAAACAAAATTTAACTCTAATGCAAAGAGACAAACCTCTTTTCCTTTATGGGATGGTGTAGACAAGTAAATTTTGAGCAAATTAAATGACAACAAGTGTCAAATTCCATGTTATAGTCAATTTAATAGTTTTTTATTTTATTTGAAAAATTAATCAAATTTTAATTTCTAAATTAATTAGTTAATTAATTGATTATTTAATATATATAGTTGGCCAATCAAAGAATGACACATGTATATTTTAAAGACCAATTAGAGTGCCACATGTCATTTCCTTGGAGAGTAAAATAAATAATTATTTCTTTAATAATTATTAAAGAGATAAATAAGTGGAAATTCATGGACCAATCAAATTGAAGTCTTCTTTTTTCAAGACTCTCTCTCCTAATTATCTCTTTAAATAATTATTAAGAGATAAATATTGGAAATTATGGACCAATCAAATTAAAGTCTTCTTTTCCAAGACTCTCTCTCCCAACACCTATAAATTGGGGCTCTCCCTAAGGTGAAAAATCACAATTCATATTCAAGTTTCAAGTTCAAAAGTTCAAAGGAATTCTCTCAACGAAATTCAAGTGTTCTTGAAGATCCAAAGGCGTTCTTGAAGATCCGAAGGAAGATTCAAGCGGGTTCAAACCCAAAACCGACGTTCAATCCGGAAACAAGCTGTCAAGCGTCCGAATTGCGTTTTTGAATTCTAGTGTTCTTGAAGATCCAAAGGCGTTCTTGAAGATTCGAAAGAAGATTCAAGCGCGTTCAAGTCCAAAACCAACGTTCAATCCGGAAACAAGCTGCCAAGCCTCCGAATTACGTTATTAAAGTCAAAACCGGCGTAAAGAAGATCAAAATCAACTTTGCGGCGAAGACCAAGGACTCGTGTTATTCACGTTCTTGGGAAATTACGACGTTCGATTCGAGATCAAGCTGTCAAGCCCTCGAAGAAACGTTATCTAAATCCATATTCAAGACCGGTAGGGATCAAACTGAAGATTCGTCTCCAAAAGTCTCAAATTCATTTGAAGATCGTTCTTGAAGAAATTAATCAGATGAATAATAGAGATTTATAATCCACTATATTTCATTTGATCCGTTAAAATCTATTTGTACGAAGTTCTCGTGTTTATTAATTCAATAATATGAAAATTTGCGTTACAAATTTCTGGCACGCCCGGTGGGACAATCTCTATCTCTCATTTTTTTTTCTTCAAGATATCTAAGTGCAACGATGACACCTCCCAAGTCAACTTTTTCAAGTTCTGCAAGTGAAAGTATTGGTGTCGTAACACGAAGCATGGCAAAAAAACAAGAGTGTATTTCCGGAAGGAAATTCCCAACAAGTTGAGGAAAATCGGCCGCCTTTGATGAACCAAGAGGAAGATTTGAGAGACGATGCTTCATCAACACCTTTCTCAATGGAGGCACATGTTATGATGACGAATGCATCAACCATTGAAGAGCAACTTGCAACCATAGCAAAAACAATAGAGTCGCTGATGAAACATGTCCAAGAACAAGACTCCACATTTTAAAGTTGCTAGAAAGGGTCGACAAAGCTGAGACTAGCCGTGCTAGGGGCAAGCAAGATGAAACACATGAGGATGAAGAAACTTCTAAAGAAGATGAGGTGAAGCAAACTGAAAAAGAGAAGTCTTCGTCAGAAATCCATGTTTCTTCAAGTGGACTCATACCAGCTTACCAACTCAAAGAATTCATCATGGGAACCATCAAGGACAAATTTGACGGAGGCTTCAAGTCATCTTTGACTTATTCGAAGCCATACACCCAAAGGATTGATAGCTTGAAGATGCCTACCGGATATCAACCACCGAAATTCCAACAGTTCGATGGTAAAGGTAGCCCGAAGCAGCACATAGCTCACTTCATTGAGACTTGCCATGATGCGGTACATATGGAGATCGTCTGGTGAAGCAGTTTGTTCGGTCACTGAAGGGAAATGCATTCGAGTGATACACCGACTTGGATGCAAATTCTATTGATAGCTGCGAGTAACTAGAGCAAGAGTTTCTCTATCGCTTCTATAGCACACGAAGGACGGTCAGCATGATTGAGCTCACTCATTCAAAGCAGTGGGATGAAGAGCCTGTTATTGACTACATCAACCGATGCAGAAATCTAAGCCTCAATTGCAAGGATCGCTTGTCTGAAGCGTCGACTATTGAAATGTGTACTCAAGGGATGCATTGGAGTCTCCGATACATTCTGCAAGGGATTCAACCAAAGTGGTTTGAAGAGTTGGCCACTCGCGCACATGATATGGAGTTAAGCATGTTTGCAAGCGGGGTAAAAAATCCACCTGTCCATGAGCCTCAAAGATTCGAGGACCGAAGTGAAGCCAAGAAAGGGGGAAAGTTCTCCACTAGAGCACCTAACAAAGAGGTCAATGAAGCAATGTCAGTCAACGCAAGACCCATCAAACTCAAAGGAAACCCAAGTAAAAAAGTTGTGGACAAGAAAGAAGTCCTTCAAGATAGGGGCAACGAAAATTAAGCTTGAAAGAGATGCAAGTCAAACAATATCCTTTCCTCGAATCTGATGTTTCTGGAATTTTCGACGATTTGATTCTGGAACAACTCATTGAACTGCCGGAGATGAAACGACCTGAAGAAGCAGGACAAGTTGACAACCCAAAATACTGCAAGTATCATCGTCTGGTAAGTCACTCCATCGAAGATTGCTTTGTCTTCAAAGATAGAGTTATGCAACTGGCGAGAAAAGGCAAGATATCGCTCGAAGAAGACAAATTGAATGCGAAATTTGCTTCAATCATGAACTCCAAGGAAAGATATGAAGATTTCGCGTGTAATGTAACGAGCGAGCAGATGATGTCCCAAGTGATGAAGAATCGACTGATGAAAAAGAACGATGTGATCATAAAGACAATGATGCAGCACTCACCTTCACAGATGAAGACTTGTTGTTGGGCTCAAAACCCCATAATAGACCTTTATTCGGAACGGGTCACACTCGCGAGAGAAAGGTGAATCGTATATTGATAGATGAAGGTTTTGCTGTGAATATTTTTTCTCTACAAGAGCTGGAGGTCCCGATGGATGAGCTCTCAAATAGTCGTTTGATGATTCAAGGCTTTAACCAAGAAGGGAAACGAGCTATTGGCATAATTAAATCGAAGTTAGTAATCCGTGACATGACTTCAAATGCTCTTTTCTATGTGATAGATGTCAAAACCTCTTATAACATGTTACTGGGACATCCTTGGTTGCATAAGTATGGAGTGGTGCCTTCTACTTGGCATCAATGTTTCAAGTACTGCCAAGATGGTCTGGTAGTTGGTCCTATCAACGGAAAGTCTTGAAACGCTATTATGCGTGATGTATCTGCATGTACCTTTAAAGCAAAAAAAAAAAAAAAATTTCAAAAAAAAAACTCCTGACTCGCATGAGTATAAACTGTGAACGGTAATCACCAAAAAACTTTGCATGTGATTAAACTGCTAAATTCTCCACCAATGTGAATATAAGTGGTTAAACTGTTAATTCTCCACTAAGGTGTTATGTGGTTAAACCTAATACTCTACTTTGTCTAAAGTA